AAAGTAAGCGAGTGCGAGTGCGAGTGCGATGTAGCAGGCGACGTAAATACCGTCGAGTTTAGAAGCCCCGAAACCGTTTGCGTGGCAGAGACGAGGCTAGGCGTGGTTGTTGTGATTGCGGGGAGTGAGAATGTATTAACAAAGGAAGGTACAGTCCTTGATATCATACTTTGACTCCCCTGTGATGTTCCTGGTTGCACAGTTTGTTATGCTGCCATAGTCGAGGTCGTAGGGACTTGCTCTTGCGCTTTTTGAATCTCCTGAACCACCGCGTTCACAATCAATCGTCGGTCTTGTTCAGAAAGTACTGTCGTYGCCACTTGCGAAGTTGAAGGATCGACAGGTGACTCCGTATCAGATCGTGGATTGGTTTTAGGAGGCATMATTTGAATTGGTGAAAATCGTCGAAAATCGAGAATTTGCGATTGCGATWATGTATTTTGGTTGMAGGCAAGCTAGCAATGATGATTGTCAAATCTGTGGTCGAATAAAGGCAGGCAAACCACGTGACCTCAGTGCTCCTGATTGGCTGGCCGCGAAGGGTTGTCAAGCGTTGAGATCCTTCGTTAATTGTGCTATTAGTGGGTATAGAAAGCTGGCAACCTAACCCATTTCGTGTCAAGACAGCCAATAATGATCCCTGCTTATCAACACCGGTAGTGAATTCGGTGGTCGCCGGTTTAGAWGGCTATCATTAGCTCGTGTCTAACCTTGCTTAAATTACATTTAACCACATTAAAATGGTATATAATGCACTGGGAACAAACGGAAAGTTGTGGAGATTAAAACAACATTTTATTGCATCCCTCTATTGGAATCCATCCAGAAACTGCTTTCCAAGGCAAAGGTTTTACACGCAATGCTCGAAAATAATAAATACAGTGCAGATGGAAAAATAACAAGCTTCAATGATGGACTTCTATGCAAAGAGCACCCTATCTTTTCACTGAACATACAAGCCTTGCAGATTGAGTTATATGACGATGAGGTTCAATTGTGCAATGCAATTGGCAACCGAGTTAAAACACACAAGCTCTATATGTTTTACTTTGTAATTCTCAACCTTCCCCTTCATTGGCGAACAAAGCTTTAGGACATTTCCCTTGTAGCCACTGCTCACTCTGTAGATGTCAAGGAATATGGATTTGATGCTATACTTCGACCTCTTTTGTCGGATGTCATGAAGTTGTCGAGCGAAGAAGGTTACCAGTTTGTATTAGACGATGGGAAGGCTATAACTCTACAAGGAGCTTTCTTACATAGCTGACACCCCTGCAAGCCAAGAAGCTGCAGGATTCAAAGAAGGCGTCGGTTTGGCGTTTAAAAAATGCCGTCATTGCCACGCAACACTGGAAACTATGCAGAGCGGATACATCAAAGGAGATTTCGAATGTCGACATCTTGAGGAACATTTGTATTTAATAAGGGAAATGTTAGAAAATGACGAGGCATCAAAGCATTTGAGCATGGTGTACGGCATCAACAGGCCGAGCATTTTGATGGACTTCCCCCATTTTGACGTTTGTAGACAAATGTCACAGGACGTGATGCACGTTCTTTTGGAAGGTGTCATTCCATACACACTAAAATTTCTCTTGAACTACTACATATCAACTAAAAAATACCTTCCCTTTCTCATAAATGAATACATTGATGAGAACGATGACTACTGGCAACTATTCACCACACTAATGGCTATCACAAGAATAAGTTTGTCACCAATGATAACATTGGAAAAAACATCTCTTGGTTGAAAGAACTTGTAAGAGAGTATCTGGAGTCATTTGTACGTCTTTTTCCTAAGCAAAGTGTTACTCCGAAGATGCACTACTTAGTTCATTTTCCACAAATGTTACTTTCTCTTGGGCCATTACTCAACTTCTGGTGCATGAGAATGGAATCAAAACACTCCTATTTTAAGTCGTTAAGAAGAGTAGCTGGATACAAAAATGTACCCCTCTCACTAGCCATGAGACACCAAAAACTGGCGTGTTTGAATGGTGCCTTCGAGGATATCTCAAAACCGGTTGGAAAATCCAGGAGACTAGGCGCCGAAGAAAAAAGGAGAGCTATAGCGCGGATACAAACGTATTTCGATGTTGATCCGCGACAAATATCGGAAGTATATATGTGTTCATGGGCAGAAATTGACAATACTAAATATGTACTACGAGAGTGCGCACTCCTTGTTGGATTCACTGATGACAAACCCTTATTCTACAAACTAGAAAGTATAATATACGTCAACACTCCTGACCACCTGTTCTTTCAGTGACTACACTATCTCATTCAATGACAAGCTGTGATCATACGAAGTAGAAGAACCAAGCATGGCTTCAGGTTTGGAGCTGTACACGAAAGATCAGCCCCTCCACCTAATACACCATAAAGAACGAATGTTTCTTCACTGCAGAATTAACATTGACGATTTAGCCTAAATGTATAACGTAGGCAAACTGTAGTCATGTAGATAAATCAATGTACTCCAATATGATGTTTGAACTATTTTCTTAAAGTCTTCAACAGGGTGGCATTGAATACTTAAATAGTTTCAGTCAAATCACTGTTGGCACGTCTTAGTGAGGGAGTGTTTATAGAGCAATCACATGAACCAACCAGGAAATAAAAAAAGCACTAACAAATAGGCACTTATTAGTTCCTAGTAGTCGATAGCACTTAACCATAACAGTTTATTTGATCCAATAAGCCGTACCCAAGACACCTCTATAACAATCACAGTCATCTCTTTGTATTGTTCTGGTTCAGTGTTCAGTGTCTATATAGTGTTTTAGTTTCTATTTTATGGTTCTGCTCTAACTGCTAACCTACAGTGTCCTAATTTTGTGTTCCTTTCATATAAATAGTTTTGGTTCGATGTCATCAATGAGAGTAGTGTCAGTAGAGAGTCTTAAGGCCCATTTACACGGCACCGGTTTTGAGCACGGCACCCCAAAATCTGATTCCGCGTACCTTTATTTTCGGGCAGGGCACCCCAGTTATCTGTCGTGTAAACAAAAATCTTTCGGCACGCGTACCTAATTTTTTCGGGTCGGCGGACCTATTTTTAAGCGTGCAAGACCACGTCTAGGAGGTAGTCTCGGCACGCTATACAGAACGGCACCCAAAAAGTGCGCCAACGGATTTTCGGCCAGTGGTACTTTTCACGGCGCAGTCTCAAAAGTGCACTCTGATACAAAATGGTGTCAAGTTCTTCGAGTACTGCAAGTATAAAGAGCGGCAGAGGTAAACTTTGGCCCAATGAAATGACAAGACATCTTATTCAATTTAACGTAGAATAAGAAAATATAAAAAAAAATTATACAGTCCCGGGCTCGTTTTCGAGATAATTAATTTCGAACAGAACCATGTTTTGACCTTTTTGATGAAAAATGGCGAAAAATTAAGCTTAACTTTGCACAAAAAAAATCACTACTCGAAAACCAATAAAGCTAAACACTCCTTATACGTAAGCTTATACTTATCTTACTGGTTTTTCAATCCACTATTTAGAATTGATAGGTGCAAGCTTGCACTCGTTAAGTCTTTTAAAATCTATTTCTTCGGTTAGACTGCGATGAAAGAAATGGGCTTCGAATGCAAGAAGTCATTGACAAGATGAAAAAACTAAGACAAAAATACTAGGTAGAAAAGGATAAAACCAGGAAATCTGGGAATGGGTGAGTCAAGAAATGGAAGTTTTTTGACATGATGGACCGTGTGATGGCCCAAGATCCAAATGTTGTGCCCGTACATCTCCATGACTCATCAGCAGAAAATGAGAAGATAGATGCAGGTAACACATTCAGTATAGTATATATGCAATATGAAAGTAATCAATATTAATAAACCAATGAATACTTTAGCTGAAGAAATGGCCCAAAGATATTGGCATGGGGAAATTTACACAAGAAAATGACGAACTTGTGAATATGAACAAGATATTCAGACACTGTCAAGGCATATACTACTAAAGATGAATTCCACTGCCCAAAATGTGGTGACCCGGCAGATGAACTTGCAGATGAATGCGATGATGATGCAAATAGTAACATTACAGATATAACAACAGGTGAGATATAAAAAAAAATGCATACTTCTTATCACAAATGTTAAAGTAGAGTGTATATCAAAGAAAGGAAAAGATGGTATTGGTCATAGCAATAATCAGTTTAGTCCCATTTGACAATGGCTGGAAAATAGAAAGTGCCCTTTATAAATACTAGTTTAATACTATAATTATCATTATTAATTGTATTGATCATTTCATAGATTCTGCTAAGAATTCCATGAATGTTGACATGAAAGAAGAGACCAAGATGAAAGAAGAGACTGAGATGAAGTCACTGGAAATAGCATTCCAGAAGATGGAATAAAATTCAGTCAAAGAATTTGAAAGGTTTGTAGTGTTCTGACACTTTCAGCTCTATCAATTGTTTACTAATTTATAAATGAACGTAAAAGCACAAATGATGCGATAATTTTTAAAAACAACACAACACTTTTGAATTTATAAGATATTTATATTTTTTTGAAAAAACAGTAAATCTACTTTATAACAACAGACATAGGAAAGAGGGAGATGTCAAAACTCGTTGATATAGATATAGATTGTTAACAAATCTGCAAAATGTTTTAGATACAAAGAATATGAGGAGAAAAGGCTTGAAAGAGAGCAAGCATTTGCATTGAAACAGGCAGCTCTGGATAATGAACGAAGAAGACAAGAAGGGGAGCATGAGCTAGCAGTCCTCAGACTGCTAACTGGAGTCCCTCCCCCAGTTCCATCATATACTATATCCCAAGATAATGAAAATTCATATTTTGAGCTCTAGAGGGTCTAGAGGTGTACCCAACAACATTTAATTTGTTTAAAAAAATGTTATACATGTTGAAAAGTTTCTATTTGTTAAATTCTTTCTTTAATGAAATAATAATGTTGCATCAGCACAAAAGACATTTTCAAAACAAATAAGGTATTGAGAACAAAACATAAGTATACACTACATAGAGAAATACATCGCTAGTGAATCACGCACTTGTGTGGCATCCCCATCTTGAACCTCTAGTGTTGCTGATTTATCAGTGTCATCAGGTTGAACATCTTGTTCCCAGTAAGGAAGAAATGGATTGTTCTGCATTTCACAGATGTTGTGCAAGATACATGAGGCTGCTACAACTGTGGTAACATAAGCAACTTTCATATCGACTCTTTTTGCAAGCCTTCGAAATCTTCCCTTCCACCTTCCAAAGGTATGACGTAGACAATGATTGAAATGTCGTTCTGACCTTGTAGTTAATGAGTTTTCCTTGTAAGGTCTCATTAACCAGGATAACAAAGGATATGCTGGGTCTGCAATGAAAAGTGGACCCACTTGTTGACCACTGACATCTTTAGAATTTATTCCTGAAAATAATGTTCCAGTTTTGGCATTCTCATATATGGTTGAGTTGGAAAATACACGAGCATCATGAACACTACCAGGCCAACCCAGTACAATATTTGTAAATAGACCTTGACTGTCAACAATAGCTTGTGTTACTATTGAATGAACGCCCTTGCGATTAACATACGTATTGCCATTCTCTGATGGTGCAAGAATAGGGATATGGGTGCCATCAATACCACCAATACACATGGGGAATCCATATTTTTCTTCAAATCCATCAATAACATTTTGAAGAAATTCTCCACTTGGAAATGCAATCACTACTCTCTACCCAATCTTCCCTGAATAGCTTTGCATACATTCCTTATGCATATGCAAACAAATGCAGTAGAAACACCAAACAGATTAGCAATTGTTCTATACTCAGCAGTTGAAGCACGATAGTACATAGTAAGGGTTAGTCGACATTTAGCTGTAACAGCTTTTCTCATGGTTGTGTCTTTATAAGTTATATCATCAGCTTATTAAGAATGTACGTAAACGTGCCTTTAGTAACTCTAAAGTTTTCGTACCACTTGTCGTCATTAAAGTGTTCATCAACCATTTCAAACCAAGCTGTACATCATGGATGGATCCATACTTCTCGTGAAATTGGAGGATCTAGGCTAATGAGAATGGCTAAAAAATGCTGCATTCTTCTTGTCTTCATCAGCCTACCAAGTTTTAAAAAGGATGATAAACGTTCACTTTTCATATTTAAAAAAACGTCCTTGTTTTTTCTTCAATAAATGATAATAAAACCCCATTTGTTGTCTTGATTTCAACATTCTATCCGCCATCTTGAAAATCTAAAACGTAATACCGCTGACAATTGTTCTAAGGGCACTCATTTGTAGCCGTGCTCCAAAAGATTAGGCACTCGAACAGATAACCGTGTAAACGGTTATAGATATTCTCTTTGGAGTGTAATTGAACCGTTTTGGTATAAACATATCTGGTCCTAGATGTTTGTGGACATTTAAAGTAAGCAACAACGAAAAAGTTGTAAGCAAATCAGAACACTGTTTATTACATGTTATTAGACTAATTAGGAGTCAATGCGATCTTATTAGTCATACTGCTCACTAGTTTTATCAATTGTTCTAACATTCCATATGGTTGTTTGTAACCATTAAACCAACAATTGAGTTGCATGTCAAGTACTCCAGACTAATTGATTCAAGAACGCTTTTCCATGACGATATAGTCTGTTTCACTCACAAAGTCAAAACGATTTGTATACTAAAGGAGCTCTCACAAATGTGGTGCATCCCTTGCTGACCTTACTAGTGGTGAATGCACTCAAATTGAGTCATTGCGTATGGATATTACTTAAATCTAGTGCGTGACTAGAATATTGCACTTAAAAGTAGTTTACAGCTAGATCGATGCACTAGATTATAGGTCGGTGCACTAGTGCGTGACTAGAATACTGCACCTAAGACTAGCAGGTACACATTCTGTGCATCTTTTAAAGTAAGGGACCAAGACTTGTTTTAAGTGCTTTACCATTAAAACAATTTCTTCGCTACTTAATTCAAAGCAGTATCGTTCATCCATACACTTACATTTAGTGGTACATGCAATTACATGCCTCTTTTCTAGTATGACGTCACTTATATTAAGTATCTTATACACTTATATTATTAGTTATCATCTCCCTAAAACATAGTACATTTTTTACAAATTAAAAGACAACTAACTAATGAGTTGCTGTTTACAAGTATTTTCAACAATGATTGAGGAACTAATTATTATCGAAGGACTGTTTGTAATCCAGCTGTTGGAAAGCATGCAATGTGCTCGTGACTATGAAATCAAGTCATTGTCTGGTGTCGTTTCTGCAGTTTGAATGTACTGAAAGAGTGAGTGCTTTATTAGTTATATAATTGCAATAACATACCGCACATTCTTGAAAAAAGAAGTTACTGTTAGATCCCTTTCTATCAGGAAATAGTTTTGGTAGCGTTTGAAGAAGTTTAAAGTATGAAAAGTATGAAGAAAATATACAATGAAAGATTAAGATGGACAAATTTCTCACAGCCATCCAATGTGTTCACTCTTACTATGGCTGAATTTCATTCATAACATGTCACTGACTTGTATTATTAATTATAAAGTTCATTGGGAAGTGTATTGCAACCACTACAGATTTAAGTAAGGTAGTCAATGTTTTGGTTATATTTCATATTAATTTTAAATAGTAACCTGAAATTGCTGAGATATCATATTGCTCATCAGAGTCAATGTCCTGGGTTTCGGATTCGTCATTAGAATTTCTTTCAGATATGGAATTTTCATCAAACAGCTGTTTTTTTAATTGCAAATCTCTTCAACCGCTTTGCCTGGTGATTCCAATTGTCTTTCCTTGCATCAACTGTAAATGTTTTGCCTTCACCATAATTGAGAACTCTCATCATTTCATTCTGAAGCTAATATAAAACATAACATCTGCATGTCAATCAAATGGAATTTCTTATCTCAGTGCAAAGAAGCAATAAATTTATGCAATAATAATTAATTACAATCATCACAAAACAATATCGCAAAACTAGTATGTCATTTTCATGTTTCATTAATTGCTCTTCATGGAAGATATCGTTTCATAAGGAGAGATATGTATACATGTACGTCATTATGTAGCTCACAATATGGTATGATTTATTATACCTATACCTCTAACTGGCATTTTAAGTTGGGATAAACTTTCAAGGTCTCACTTATTCTACACTTTCCATCTAGGCTCTTTATGAAGTTGTTTCTCTTAACAAAGAGCATATTCATTAAAGGGGTGACAATCTAATTTGAATGAAAGAACAATATTGCAAGTTCACCTTAATTAATTCACTTTTCATTAATACCTGCCAGTGAAAATAACAAGCCAAACAGACAGTGACGTTTGATCAGGGACAATCAGGGACAATATGTTTGAGCAATAGGTGATTTACTTTATGGTGTCACTTCTCTTTCTTTTTGAAATGTAATTGTTCCTAATTGTTTTCCTAATCTCGATATGTAAGAGTTAGTTACCGAGAACGGAGGCATTACGCTATATACAGCCCGAGTGCCGCATAGCGTAATGCCGACGTGCGAGGTAACTAACAAACTTAGTTTTCAATTCACGTGGTTTTCGCAAAAACTGAAAAGACTTAATGAATGTTTTCTTAGTTGGGTTTCGAACAATAGAATCCTCTTCTCTTGAGACTTTTTCATGGACTGTTGAAATTAGTTTCCTTTAAGAAAACCTGTTCATGCGAAAGCGAGCAATCGAAATTTGAATATTGTTATCAAATATTCTTAGCAGTCATTCTGGAAACGATGTCGAACAGTGACGACGATTTGTGTATAGCTCAAAATACGTTTGACATCATTCCTTTGCCAAACTTTGATATTGACGATTTGCTATCGGATTTGGAACTCCGCATGCTTCTTTCCGCAAATAACGATGACAAAGTCTGCAGATGGGAAAAAATGAGAAMAATTACAATAGTTTTTGATGTTGAACTCGCTCGAAAATGCGAGGAAAGGATTCAAGAAGGAACAAACTAAAGTACCAAATTACCGTGTGTAAGTGCTTGGATAGAATTGACCAAGTCTCACCGATTACTTCTGATTCATACACGTTGGTTAATTCCGAAGAATAGATTCTTTTAAAAGTAACGGCGAAGATCCTGGTTATTGTTGTCTCTATTCTCTGATGAACATATGAAGAAAAGCTGCGGGACTCGAACTTATTACACTCTAAATCTCCTCAAGTTTTGCTGGCCGCACTGGTCTTTTTTAGGGGAAAAATAGTTAAGTTTACTTAGTTTATTTGATGTTCAGCAGGGAAATGTGGGGTTGATGAATTGAATTGAATAACTCGTTATAAATTCAGCGGGCTATATGAGTGATTCCGGTCACTCATATATAGCCCGCTGAATTTATAACGAGCTATTCAATTCAATTCATCAACCCCACATTTCCCTGCTGAATATCAAATCCCTCCCCGGCTTTAAGTTTCTATGGTATATACAGCCCTATGAATAACAAATAAAACCTAGTGAATTGGAAACTAATATCAAATCCCTCCCCGGCTTTAAGTTTCTATGGTATATACAACCCTATGAATAACAAAGAAAACCTAGTGAATTGGAAACTAATTGTGCATTTCAGGCTGCTGCTGCTGCTGCTGATGATGATGATGAAGACAACGAAAGTGATAACACAGACCGATTTCATAGAATATTTAAAAGAAGATCAGCTTTATATTGTATGAGGTACAATTATAAGTCTATAGACTACATTAGAAATGGGAAAATGTCATTTATGCAGGCTTTTTTTCAATGTTTTAAAAAAATGCATGCATTTTGGAGACATGAAGGGAGGTGTGACGTCCACACCATTGGGGCACATTTCAGTCATATAAGTCGAGGGTCCTGAGAGGCAGTACTATGAGTTTATTTTGAATGTATAGAAGTATACAAATTGRATATTGATAACCCACAGAACAGTCATGTGCCAAATAATTATTTTAGTTCACAAATATTTGTATACTTGATTTATATTTGATTTGGRTTGATAGACAAGCAATGAGAGTCCACTAAACTGTAGCAACAATATAATAATGATTACTCTTTAACTTGCAGGCKTAAGGAAAAACATTGTTTGCCACAAACAGCTATCAACTGTGTTGTAGCTGGCACAAGAMTCCTGTTTGATTATTTCATCTGGGAAATGAAAGACAGGATCTTTAAAAGGATCCCAGAAATATCAGTGGAAAATTCTGAATCTCTCTCTACTGAAATTGAGARTATTTGTGATGAAATTCCAAAGCCATTTGATGGTCTAGAAACAGAATGACTGCAAACTTCGCTTTCAAAAAGGCAATTTGGAATTGTGGTTAGTATCATATCTAATGACATATTATGTCATCATATATTGTCCAAGTTAAGAAGCTGCTGTTAAGYTATATATGAATATTAATGTTAATATGATGATAACCAGGAAATGAAGAGTACAAAATAATTACAAGTTATAATACAAAGGATCCCGTTGAGGTGGAGTTAGGGAGGAAAATTGTCTACAAAGGATTTGGAAGAAAACGACGTGTCATGGAAGAGATTAGAAAATTTTATTATGTACCTATCCTGAAAACATTACAGAGCATTCTTGGTGATGGCGACATCAGAGAAGTCATGATTTCAAGCAATGGATACAGCGAAGATAATTTTATAAGGGGATTCAGTGATGGTTTTCTTTGCAAGAGTCATCCAATTTTATACAATCAACATACAGGCATTGCAGATTGTTCTTTATCATGATGAAGTTCGGATATGTAATGCTATTGGAAATCATGTTAAAAAACAGTTGTACATGGTCTACTTTTTTCTTCTAAATTTACCACCGCAATATTGCACCAAATTAGAGGACATACATTTTAGTTGCTATAGCACAATCAAGTGATGTTAAGGAGTATGGTTTTGATTCTATATTGAAGCAAGTTCCGACTCCGCAGCATTTCTTCTCTTGTCAGCATACAACTTTGCTTTCATTTTCATCTCAGAATCTTTGTCTTTAAACTCGTCATCTCTCACTCCTTCTTGCACATCAGGTAGCTTTGTTCTCACCTTCCTTTTGAATAGCAGCTCAGCAGGGCTAACTCCTGTTGTTGTGTGTGGTGTAGCTCTGTACGCTGTAAGGTAAGTACGCAGTTCCTTCAGCCAGTCTTTACCCTCGGCTTGTGCTATTTGCATCCGCTTCAACATTGACCTGTTTTGTCTTTCTATCTCTCCATTGGCCTGAGGCCACAACGGTGTTATCCTGTGGTGTTTTATACCATTGCTCTCCAAGTACTCGGCGAAGATCTTTGAGACAAACTGGGGACCATTATCACTCGCTATGGACAATGGAAGTCCATGCCTTGAAAACATTTCATCTAGACTTTCAACGACCTTGTCTGCWGTTGTTGTCTTCATTACACAAACTTCATAGAATCTGCTGTAGTAATCAATCACTGACAAAATATAATGCCCTGATGGTAGTGGACCTAGGAAGTCCAATGCAATGTCTTGCCAAKGTCCGCTTGGCAACTCAGTTGTCCTGATTGTCTCTAGGTGACTGGGTTGACTCACCAGCTGACATCCATGGCACGTCTTGCAGAATTTCTCCACGTCACTCGTTATGCCTGGGCACCACACCTTTGTCCGTAATCTCTGCTTCATGCTGACAATTCCTGGGTGTCCTTCATGGGCCAGAGACAATACTTGGGCTCTTAGTTTGCTTGGAATGACTATCCGTGTACCTCTTAAAAAGTTTTCCGATCACACACAGTTCACCGCTGGCTGGAATGTATGTCTTGCAGTCACTGCTTTGCCACTTTCCAGTCTCGAGTGCTTCGCGCTTATTTCCTCATCCCTCTCAGATGCCTCCTCCACTTCTCGTGTTGTGAGTGCTCTAGGTGTTGCTGTTGTAGCGAYGAACCTTACATACTCTTCAGCGATCCTTTGCTCCGGCGATACACTGCTCGTGTCTACTTGTGTGAGTCTCGACAGAACATCTGCAACATTCTGCTTACCAGGTATGTATTTGACTTTAAACTTGTAGGGTTGCAGCCTCAGCACCCAGCGTTCAATCCTAGCACATGGCTTGGACCTAGRTGAGTAAATAGCCTCAAGTGGCTTATGATCAGTACACAGTTCAAAGTCAATGYCATATAGATAAACATGGAAACGCTCACACGCCCACMCGATGGCCAACGCCTCTTTCTCTGTCTGAGAGTACCGTTTCTCAACATCTGTTAGACTTCTGCTAGCATAACCTACAACACGGTACTCACCATCGGTTTCTTGGGCTAGAACTGCCCCGAGTCCTACTGGACTTGCATCAGTAATGACTCTTGTCTTGGCATCTTTGTCGAAGTATGCAAGGGCTTTAGCTTCACTCAGCTTGGCTTTCAACTCATTGAAAGCATTCCTTTGCTCCTCTCCAAACTCAAATGGCACATCATTCTTCGTAAGCCGACGTAGTGGCTCTGTTATTGTGGCAAAGTTAGGTATAAACCGTGCATTGTAATTCACCAGTCCCAAGAAA